TGTAGCTTTGCGCGAAGTTCAAAACAAACAAACACTTTGTGGCCGTGTAACGATCGAATCTCATTATTCGATCAGAGTAGTGCGAGAGTTGGCAGTTGGAGCTGTTGACTAGCTGCCCTCTCTCTAGTCTGTCAGCTAAAAATCAGGAACTGCTGGCGCAGACAGCTCTTGTACAGCATGGCGCGAATTTCTGAAACTAATCAAACCGGGACAAGTCTGGATCGTAGCCACTAAACATGACATCAAAAGATATTTCATTTTCTCAAAAAATGCAAAAAAAAATTTTCGGAACAATGAGCAATGTGTGACCCATCCATTTCGGGTATCGAAAGCCGGCTTTTAGAGTCATAAACTTTCAAAAGGAAATACAAGAAAACTGTTAATTTTTTTCATTCTTTTTAGGTGTCCTTGATGGAAATAACACTAATATTTTGCTGGAATGATCTCAAAGCAATATATATATATATATATATCCACAGTGAAAGGTCACCTTCTTTTATTATCTAAATAATTTAATATGTACTTATTTTACAACATCAGTTTGTTTTGGGTACATTGACTTTGTCCTTAATTAACCAAATTCACACTCCCGTCATATAACAATCGGATTAATGGCTATTTAGTGTTTCCTGGTCGACAACTGAAGCTCCAGTGAGTTGGCGTCATGGTGACAGATGCCTCTTGTAACAAGCATAGCTAACTTTGTTAAGAAATGGATTTAAAATGTTCTGTAAGTAGCTTGTGTAACTTTCTGAAAGTGTAAATTACATATATACTTACACACACATATATAAATATTATTTGTACGTCAAAGTATAATTTGATATGAAATAATATTTTATTGCATTCAAGCCCGCTTACTTCAATCAGCTAAAAATATACAATTTCACATTGAAACAAAATTTTAAAAAAGTTTTCGTTTAGACAGAATATTTTCGATGTTGCTTTTCTTACGACATAAAAATATAAACTCAAAATTAACATTATCATTCCAGGTGGCAGACAAACAGGTCAAGTATCCGGCTCTACACATCCTGGGTTACATCCTCATCTACAGCAGCGCATCCATCAATCCAGTTATCTATGGTGTCTTTAATAAGCAGTATCGACAGGCTTACAAAACAGTTTTATTGTGTCGGCGTCCTCGCAGTCTCAGTGTTACTGCAAATGCTTCTAACCCTAATAAACACACAACTACTCACTTCACCGCCGTTTCCAATGTCTCTCAGAGTACCAAAGACGATCCGGTATTCGTTGATGAACCAGTGTAAGGTTTTGTATATTTTTTAAAGGTTTGTATTTGCTATGAGTAAATGTCTCTCAAAGTACCACAGAACGTTCAGTATTTGTTGAGGAACGACTAACGACTGTAAGGTTTTGTTTTTCAGAAGGACTGTATTGACCGCGGGAAAATGTTTCTCTTCTACTAAAAATGTGTTTTCATTGTTTGTCAGAGTTCCAGTCAGGATTCAGTTTTTAATGATAAAACATACGGTATGAAAATGGTTGTAATGTACCGTTGTGTTTACCATAAAAGTGACGCAAGCTGTCAAACATCACGCATTTCTTACCAATGTTTCTCTACACACTATGTATAAAAGCTTGTCTATAGCTGATGTACAGCGTTTGTTCAGTGTTAAGGGATTTGTTTGATTAAGTCCATTTTATACGGTGTTTCATCAACAATACTAGAACCTTGTTGGTTCTTGTACGACGTTGTTGACCACTTCCAAAGCAACCCGTCCTTGTTCCTAAACAAACATTCCTGTCCTCTTTGTGTTAAACATTGATACGTTAAACTATACTACTTGTATGTTATTTCCATCTTCACATTCCGTTGTTTACAGTAATTAAATATCATGGTATTTCTCCTTCAGTTTGTTTGTTTGTTTGAAGTTAAGCACAAAGCTACACAATGGGCTATCTGTGCTCTGCCCACCACTGGTATCGAAACCCGGTTTCTAGCCTTGTAAGTCCGCAGACATACCACTGTGCCACTGGGGGGGGGGGCTTCTCCTTCAGAGTCACATGATAACACAAATATACCCCGTAAGAATTTGCTCCCCTCACTTCCAAATAAAATCTGAAATGGCGGTAAACATTATAATTAAGCAGTGTAAAGAAATCAGCCACGTCAATAAATAATACAATAAAAGAGCTATAAGCTAACCTGTATTTAATTAAATACAGATACGTTCAGATAAGTAAAGTTATATCTCCATAGGTTACATTTTCTTGCCATTAGTGTTCTTGAAAGTCATCCGGAAATGACGTACGTAGGAAGTTGAAACACATGGCTTGTTCACGCAGCTGGAAATCAAGATTGAAGAATGAATATGGGTCAGTAGAATATCAGTATAAAAATTGTAGTCACATCTAAATTTATGAATGTTTAAAATGAATTTTAAATATCGGGAATAAAAGTTTTGTTGTTTTGAGGTCCACAATGAAAACAGTTATAGTATTACTGAAAGATCTAGAGGTCACTGTATCCAAAATGAATGGTACTTTTCATTCTGAGTTCAGAAATCACAGTGCACAAACATATATAAATGAGATTAGAGCCATTAAGTGGGATTGTTTTCAGGATTTCCATTTATAATGAGGAACGAAAAGTAAGTTGAGGATGAAAATAACGTCACAGGATATTTGAGTTCTATTGGTCAATAATAACAATATAGATCGGATTTGATTTGTCAGTAACAGCATACAACTCTTTTAGGTCAGGTTTGATTGGTCAGTAACAACATAAAGCTGTTTAAGGTCGGGCTTCATTAGTTTGTTACAGTACACAAATCTTTCAGGTCGAGTTTGATTAGTTAGTTACAGTATACAAATCTTTCAAGTCGGGTTTGGTTGGTTAGTAACAGAACAGACATGTTTGAGGTCAAGTTTGATTGGTCAGTTACAGAATAGAAATTTTTCAGGTGGGATTTAATTGATCAGTAACAGCATACGCATATTTGAGGTCGGGTTTGATTGGTGAGTAAGAGCATATACGCATGGTTCAGGAACAGCAGCTTGCAATTGTATCAAAATTTATGATTAATATAATAACAATAACAAGTGATATAAGGCATTATCTTACTATTCTAGAAGAATAACACGAAAAATAGTTTAATTTTCCTATAATGAAAGTAGCGTGTGTATATATATGTATGTATGTGACCGAAATAATAAATATAATGTGGCGCCATCTCTTGAATGGTACCACAAACAAAAACCATAACAAAATTCTCACTTTGGGTATTCATTATTCAGACAATTAGAAAAATAACTACAGTATGCGCAACAAACACACTTTTAAATACAAATACTCTCCTCACAACAAGAATATGACTTCCACTAGGACTGTACGTGAAGGTTTGATCATATCTTTATTGGTGTAATTTGTAAATATACTACTAAAAAATGGAGTTCTTGAAAAAACAATTTTTTTCAATAAAGGGTATCTCTTTTAATATATAAAAACATTACAGTTTATATCAGAACAATCCAAACACTTTTCCCATTCAGTACTTCCGAGAAAAATCAATTTTTCGAAAATGTTCACTTTTTGTAATTTTTTTTCAATGAGGTATGAATACTACAATTAGTAATTACTAGCACAAACAGCCACCTATATGGCGGCATTTCCTTTAGTATACATAACTGGTATAGTTTAAAATTGACATGAAACTACAACGTGGTTCATTATATATTAGAATGATGGTTTGTAGAATGAAGAATTGATTTGTAATACAAAACATAGTACTTCCACATTTGACCAAGCCATGATACAAAACATAG